ACGCCACTATCTACTGCAATTGTGGAGCACCTCGTTGTATATTTCTTCAAAACGAGCCCTAGACATTTGCTATGAAATTTACATGGCATGTCAAACTCTGTAGATAAGTAATCTCTCAGTGATGGAAAATATGATGACGTATTGATGACTTACAATTCCTAACTAAGAAATGATTCCATTGCATCAGTTTCGACAGTGAATTCTGGTTGTTTTAAGTGACCGTAAGGCACAGATTCTGACACTATCAATTGTATTAAAATGTCAAAGTTAGTTGTTTAAACGAATATTTCGAAATCATATCTTTTCATATCGTGACAGATTTGAATGTATCCAAATACATATTCAAAATTTTTAAATATATTCGGAGCGTATGTGTTCTGGGTCCATTTGTAAACCACCTGACGGTCGCTAATAAACCTTGACCATCATCCTGTGTAGATCAATAAATTGTCTTCAACATGCTTACAAATACAATTTATTCATCTTAGTCTGTTGGAGTTAATAAACAAGTAAATAAGTACTTACCGGAAAGTAAATATTTACCACCAGTATAATATGCTGATTACAGCTTTGCACCTCAAAACACTTATTCAAAATCTATGAAATCCGCGCGTGATAAACTCTAAATTTCCAATTAGGTACAATAAACAGAGACTGACAATTTGAATGGTGTGTTGCTACGATAACATAATAAACTAGTACATTCAGAAAATAGTTAAAGTTTAAATTATCATTATAGAATTTTCAGACCATTGCGACCACATCTAGAACTTGGCTAAAGTCCAAACCACGGCAAAAATAATAGCCTTAAAAATATAAAATTTATTCCATAAATGTCCGCAGGTCGTTCCAGTGAATTCAGATTCGAAAATTCCAAAGTAAGTTATTGTTTTTAATTAAAGCAATTGGAATCGTAAGTTATTAATTGGGTTTTATTAACTTTGAAAATATTTTGGTAAAATTTCCAGATTCGTTGTTACGTCGGCCGTCCTAGATTTGGTATGTCATTTTACGAATTAACTGTTTATCTTAATTAAAAGTTCGCTTTACCGTGCATTTTGTTAAGTGACCAAAGAACTATTACGAGTTTTGTTTTACTTGACTTAACTTAATCTGACCTAACTGTCATTAACACTAGCATGAGAATTATTTACGTGATCACTATTTCTGGTATCAAAAAAGTCATCACGAGCCTATTTATTAATTATGGGGTCAGGTTTTTCTTGGGGATTAAAATTCATTAATTTACGTTATATTACCGTTCTAAGTTATAAACTTACATATTTATACCGAATTTCTATTCAATCCTTCGGTTTCAATAATTTCGGTTTTAACAAACTAACACAGAAGTAGCATATTGAGTTTCGTTTTTCTTTTTTAGTACGAATCCCTAACTAAATTTATATTTCCAAAATAACTATCAGGGGGTGATTAGGGATCGATACTGATACCAAAAATGCAATCAGTAAAATTTTTGTCTGTCTGTCTGTCTGTCTGTATAACCGTTATAGAAACAAAAACTACTCGACGGATTTTAACGAAACTTGGTACAATTATTTTTCATACTCTTAGCTGGTTATAGTATACCTTTCATCACGCTACAATCAATAGGAGCAGAGCAGTGAAGGGAAATGTTGGGAAAACGGGAGAAGTTACTCCATTTTTTAAGCTTCCGTCGCGTGTGCACTCTTAATGGTTAAAGCTACTCAGAAATCATGTATGACGGAAATGTTCTCCTTAAAATTATATAAAAAATATCCTACGACAGTAGGATTAGCTCGGTGGCGTAGTGGATAAGCGCCGCGGCCCGCGATCGTAATCGTTAAGCAACTTTCGCAAGGGTCGATCACGGGATGGGTGACCAAAAATTATTATCTCGAGCTACTCCGTGCTTTGGAAGGCACGTTAAGCCGTTGGTCCCGGCTGCATTTGCAGTCGTTAATACACTCCAGTCCGCATTGGGCCAGCGTGGAGGGTCATATCCTCCTTAAACATTCATAAGGAAGGCCTGAGCCCCTGCAGTGGGGACGTAAAGGGCTGGTGGTGGATCCTACGACAGCATATGTCTATCTTTTATGGTTGACTCACAATAACACGTATAACTCCCGATAGTTTAGCAGTTCGAAGCTTTCTGATTGTATTTGTCTATTGTCTACTCTTACGTTTATAACACTCTCAGTCATCCCTAATTAAAAAAGTTAACAGTATTAAGTATTCTATAAAAAAGAATCATATAAATCGGTATGGAAACACCAAAGTTGTACATGAAATACGCTAATAACAAGCTATCGCGCGTGAATACTGAATCATTCTAGAAGGATTGTTTTTGTATAAGGTCGCGACCGCACAGGCAGGCGGCTTGCTTGGCGCCTAGAGGCTAGCGAGTCACCTAGCGAGTAGATTCTTAATACGAACATTAACCCAGAAGCTAGGCGCCAAGCGAGCAGTGCGGCCGGTCGCGAACGTTCGGGAATCGGTCGCCGCGCTCGACGCGTCCCGCGGCCGAAGGTATAAAAAGACGGGGCGTCCGAGCGCGAGCTCCATACAATTTTTGCCTGTATATTATAAATGTGAAAGTTTTTTTGTTTGGATATTTAGATGTTTGGATGTTTGTCGGTCAATCACACTAAAACTACTGAACGGATTTTAATGAAATTTGATATACAGATAGGGTATAGCTGACTTAGAAAATAGGATTTTTATCCCACTTATCATTTCCCTAGGGTCCACGCGGGCGAAGCCGCTGGCGAAAGCTAGTACTAAATAACTGGTTATTTGCATTATATATTTAAAGCTTTTTATTACAGGTTATTTAGAGATTCTATCTCTGTATCATATAAATGCAACATAGATTATAAAATTTTAATTATGTTTTTAAATATGACATATCTATATCTTTGAAAGGTTCGTTAAAAGCACGAGAAAATTACACATCCTAGAGTATAAGTAAGCAAATTTTTCAATACAATATATATTATTTTAAAGAATAAATAAGAACCACAGTTGTATTATGATCAATTATTGTAGATATCTTATTCTGAACATTTTTTCCAGGACAAAGGAAATGCAGCTAGTAATAACATCCATAAATTAATTAAAACGTTAAATAATGTAATGAAGCAGAAGCAGAATATTAAAAAAAAACGTAAATCTTTTACGTGAGTAATTTATTTGAATACAAAGTGGTTTTATTAAAAAGTTTCTTAAGTTTTTTTAATAAAACAGATGTATTATTGGTGAAGAGTAGCTCGGTGGCGTAGTGGATTAGCGCCGCGGCCCGCGATCGTAGTCGTTAAGCAACTTTCGCAAGGGTCGGTCACGGGATGGGTGACCAAAAAATTCTTATCTCGAGCTACTCCGTGCTTCGAAAGGCACGTTAAGCCGTTGGTCCCGGCTGGATTTGCAGTCGTTAATACCCTCCAATCCGCATTCTGCCAGCGTGGAGGGTCATGGCCTATCCTCCTTAACCATCCATAAGGAAGGCCTGAGCCCCTGCAGTGGGGACGTAAAAGGGCTGATGATGATGATTATTGATGAAGTAGACCTTATTAATGATTTGCTTTGAAGACACGGTATACTCATAATGTTGTATGTTGAAAGCTTTCAAAGATTTTTTATTTTTTTATTTTATCAGGATATACAATGAACTTGTATAGCAATAAAATAATTATGAATATATCAAATTTATAATAATGCTAAACAATAGGGGCGTAGATAACTTTATTATATTTTTATTTTATAGATATACATGAAATAAAATCTAAAACTAAATTTATATTTCAAAATTTCCCACTTAAACGCCAACTTCTGTTATGGCGTCGATATAACGTCACGACCCTCTGAAACTAATCTCGTTCTACGTATGCATAAGGTTTAATTCTATAAGTTCCGATATAAGTAAGAGGGGCATGACTTCACGCGCTGTTTGCGTTCATGTCACAACGAATATAAAATTTTTTTTCATGATTCATTTATAGGTAATTATATATTTAATGAGCAAAAAGGTGTGATTATCAGTAATAAAGATACTACCAGAAAAAAAAAGTATATATTTTCGTTTAGGTACTGTCTACACCGTATGTGTATTATATTATATTTTGGATATTAAAATTTGCAGGTTAACACAAATATTACCCGCTGAAACATATAAACATGAGGTAAGTAAGATTGATCAAAATAATCATCCAACCAATGTTAAAGAAAACATTTGACTATTGCATCTCTTGTAACTTGTGGGTTTCCGGTCTATAGCAAAAGAATCGATCTTGTGAACCTTTAAGACTGATCGAAGCCGATTGATCGAACATCTTAAAGATCGATGCGGAAAAAAAACGATGATGTAAAGATCGGTCTCTTAAAAAATCGATTCATTCTATTAATGTCATCAAAAACTTTTGTATTTAAATTTAATAATTAAGATACAAAGATACAAAGATACAAATAACCTTATAGGTTATTATCGAAATAGAATAAGAAGATCGTAGATCGATCATTATTTTATGACGTAGTTTTCTAATCAAAAATAAATTCTTTATAGACAATTGTGAAGTCGACAAAATAGAATCGAGATCGGAATCCCTAATGTACATGAGAAGTAGCTTACTTAGACATCTTTTTTATTATTATTATTTCTCCACTACTAGTGCACATGTCTCTATGGGTTCTGTATGGACGAAATCGAATGGAATCGTATTTGATAATTAGAAAACAAAATTGTTACCATGTAAGTTATTTGTTTGCCAATCCTTCTACCTGAACAATTCCTTACAAACAAACTCAAAATATATGAGGAGCATGACAGTGCGTTAATTAAATTAAGTAACTTTCGTAAGGGTCTGTAATAGGATGGGTGACTAATATTTTATTATCTTCAGTTCCCTCATGCTTCGGATGGCACTTTAAGGCGTTAGCAACGAATTTATTTTCAATAGTTTTTAAAAATAAATTGGTCTCTATTTTCACAGGTAAACGGTATAAATTCAAAACCAGTACTTAGAGAAATGCTTAATGCTGACGTAACAGAAGCAGATAACTTTGGAAACGGCAAAGAAAATAATAATTTTGAATACGAACACTTCCCTCGCAATACTGAAGAAAATAATGATAAGCCTAACAAGATGTCGCTACTATGGAATACTAAGGTAACAAAACTTTATGTACACAGGGTTTACGGTAGGCTGTATGGCAGACTACCACGAATCAAGTGGACAAAGACATTTTCGTATAGAATACCGTGCTTTTGGGGGTGTAGTAAGCGCGCTAGGTCAGCGACACGGTTGCTAAGCAACTTTCACAATGGCCGGTTATAGGATGGGTGACCAAAAATTTATTATCTCGAGCTCCTCCGTGTTTCGGAAGGCACGTAAAGCCGTCGGCTCTGGCTGCATCTGCTGTCGTTGATGCCCGCCGGTACGCGTTGCGTCCGCGTGGTGTATCATGGCCCAGTCTCCCTATTCGATTTAATCCATAGGGAAGGTCTGGGCACCAGACACTAATAGACCGGTGATGATGCTCTTGAATGTACATCTCATTTAATTCATAGCAAAAATTTGTTATCAACACTTGCTTTAATTAATTTATTTATTGGCTATTACTATCGATTTTAGGACGCATACAATCACGTAAAATTCAATCCTGAGGCACCAACCCAAGAAGATCTTATACCACAGAAAAGTATCATTGAGAATGACGAACTAAGTAATGATATAAGGAATTGGTGGTTTTTCCATCAGGTAATACACAAATACTAGACCACATCTCAGACATAAATCAGGTAACAAAGCGTCATAAAAATATTTTAAAAAATGAAACAGGAACTATGATGGACCTAGGAAGAAGACAGTTACAAGAAAAAATGACATAAATATTGTGTTTGATAAAAGAAAATAAACTCGTAGGTAGCAAGTAGCTCGGTGGCGTAGTGGATAAGCGCCGCGGCCCGCGATCGTTCTCGTTAAGCAACTTTCACAAGGGTCGGTCACGGGATGGGTGACCAAAAAAAAAAATATTATCTCGAGCTCCTCCATGCTTCGGAAGTCACGTTAAGCAGTTGGTCCCGGCTACATTTGCAGTCGTTAGTACCCTCCAATCCGCTTTGGGCCAGCGTGGAGGGTCATGGCCCATCCTCCTTAACGATCCATATAGGAAGGCCTGAGTCCCTGCAGTGGGAACGTAAAAGAGCTTGATGATAAAAGATGATTATAACAAAAAATTGATTAGACTTATTTAAAAATTGCTTCATTTTGATTTTAAATAACTGTTTTAGTTTTTCTTTAATTTTATAAAGAGGAAATATTAGATTGTTTGTTGGTTTGCATTGAATATACTCCGAAGCTACTGGACCAATTAGAAAAATTATTTCGCCTACGGGAAGCTACAATATACGCAGGCGAAGTGGCAGGAAAATCGTCTACTATTAAAATATGTTTACGTCCGGTTTTTGAATTTAGAAAAGTACAAAATCTCAACTGATTATGCTAAATAACTTAAGTTTTTTCACATTTTACAAGGCAAATAATCCTAGTTTTATCAAACCGCTATCGACTGATCTTTTAAAAAATTAAAACCAAATACAAAAAGTTAAGAACGGTTTGAGATGTTCTTAACTTTAAATTCTTAAATCAGAAACCGGGTGTTAGTCTTCTGATACCACCTAAATGTGATTTAAAATGTTCTACTTCTCAGCTTAATTACGATTTTGTAAATCGTGTGATTTTGCTTTTTTATTTTCAAATACGACAAGATAATCTGTTTTGTTAATGTAACATACAAATAAACCTTTCTCTTTATGCTATTTTTTTATCTTTATTAAAATATAAAATGAAAACTTAAATGCAATATTCTTTACACCCATAAACCTCGTTAAGTTTGTTGTGGTGCAAACACTCTTATTATATATAATTTAATATAAAAAAAATTGTTTTAGTAATTAAATAATAGCTACTGTTAAATAAATAGTACAAATACTGTAATAAATATATATATATTTTTTTTATTTCAGGAAGACTTCGAATCATTTGAATATGAAAAAGATCGATAACAATGAAGACAAAAAAGTATAAGTATTTTGATAATAAAACTTACTCTTGAGATTTGAATGTGTTTGATTTATAAAAAAAAAAACTTTAAGTTTTTTTTATTGATTTCTTTTTGAAGAATAAGGTATCTAACATACGGCTTTATCTAAAATAACTTTTTTTCTGCTATTAGACCAAAGTGTAACAATATGTATTTCATTGCAAAGCAGTGAATTTTGGGATTTACTTAGCACACATTTAATACACATTTCAAAATGTACTGTATATCTCGAAAACTCTATGTAACAGAATTTTGTTATTCATACAAATACTGTGAAAAACATAGTAAATTATTTTGGTGAGAAATGATAATGATATTTTGTCTAGAATCAGGCCTTAAAACCTTGTTGGTGCGCTTTTTTATTAAAAAGGGGTAATTAATTCCTGCTTGCCATTACATATGTATGGATTTTGTATACATTTAAAGACCTTTTTTTATTAAAATCTTTGCAATAAGTACTAATCGAGTTATCATGATCAACAGCATATAAATGACCCTACTACGGAGGCTCAGGCCTTCCCTGTGGATGGAATGGACTCAAATCGAATAGGTAAAATGGGTCATGCCCGGTGGATCACACAGACACAGTGCGGATTCGTAAGTATTAAAGACTGCAAATGCAGTCAAGTCAACGGCTTAACTTGCCCTCCGAAGTACGAAAAATGTCGAGATAATAAATTGTTGGTCACCCACCCATCCTATAAAAGTTGCTGAACAACCGTATTCTCTTGAATATCCAATAGAAATTAATAGTATGACGAATAAAAATTAACAGTTTAAAAAACATTTGAAAACACTCTTTAATAAGTGTACGTAAAAGCCGAAAATAAATTATGGATCGTCTCTGTCTGCCCTGAAGTGTATAAACTATAATGCTTTTAATTATAATATTTGATTGTAAAGCGTGGGGCGCTACAACAGGAAATACTTGCTGAGAAATCAATTAAACGATGTTAAGTTACATGCATACAGGTAAAAGCATACAAATATTACTTATAGTTTAGAAAATAGAGTTTACTGGCATCTACAGATAATAGTCGGAACTAACGAAAATACACGGAGGGCGGAATTTCAATGAGGATAACTGTCTCGGCCAGAGTTATACGCTGACGTTTAGTTTTATTCTCATTTTACAGATGGCGCTAAAAATACTTTAACCATATTGTGAAATATCTATTTGTTTTTATATATCTAGATTTCTTAGCTGCAGTCTTATTAGCTTGAATCGAAAATATGATAAGAAACACTAATTGTCATGATTATGGTTAATACAATATAAGTCGAGAGGATAGCAAGTCGTACCTCTCTAATGTAGTAAGTTAATCACAAGACGATAATTATTTTGCCTGTTGTGCTACAGGTGTTTGTCAGTAAAAAAACTAATATATAATTTAGGAGAACTCCAATAACAGTTCAAACGATAAATTTCGAAGTTCTCCTAGATTAAATTCACCTTTTTTCAGAGGAAATAGCCTACGTGAAACCTTTCTTTTTTTTATTAAAAATTAGCATGCTCAAAAACCTGAAAATTTTCGTTATGAAATCTAACTACTTTATATTATCAACTATGTAATAATCAGTAACTTTATGGTTAGCAAACAAAATACAAAATCATGTCTAATCTGTTATCTAACAGTTTTAATATGTAATAATCAAGAAGCACGCATATTTTGCACATTGTTGTTCTGATACCAAATAAAACAGCTTTTAAAACAGGTTATAAAGTGCAAAAATTATTTTTATTTTACCTTTTAGATGTTTCTTATAGACCATGGTCATTTAACTCGTGTTGAGTGTTGCTGGTAGTCTTTCAAACAATGTTTTGTTTTTTAAAGATCAGTTCTAGAAGTTTTGTTTAATGTGCGGTTTATTTTTTTAATTGTGATCTTGAGGATATAATAGTTTTAAGACGTGACTTGTTTAGTGATAAAAATGGGTTTGAAAACGCAAAGTAAACGTGTTGCGTTATGGACACTATTCTTGTTTGGTGTTTTTCTCTTTATTATGCTTTTTGTGACGGCTCCTTTATAGTAAGTAGATTATCTTTAATTTACATGAAACTAAACACTCGCATCAAGTTTATCTTGTATATAGAGACTTTTTAGATATTCCATTCTTCGCACAGCGCCGTAATAGCACAGAAGTTCAATTATATAAAACCTACTTTGAAAATTAATAAAGTTTGTTTTTAATTGAACATCTATGACGTAACAGAGCTGCATTCAGCAACGAGTTTGAGATTGTTGTTTTTATAGAATATAATACATACATAGCTTTAGTTATTAAAAATCTTAGGGATTTCACTATATCCGTTTCTACGTTTTGTATGCTGTTTACTCTCTGATATGAATAATAAAATTATTTATCTTGCTAATTAAATAAAATACTATAAAATACTTTGCATCATATTAGGCGTTGTGTGGAGATTTCTTTTCCTCATCTATCCCATGTCGTTATGTTATACATTTATACAGACATTTAATACATTTTTTTTTTCTTTTGAAATTTTTTGGTTATTGAAAGAAATCGAAGTAAAATTTGTTAAAATGACTGTAATATATATTAAATTATTTCTAACCGACTTCAAAATCCAAAAGGAGGACATTATATGTTCGACGGTGATGTATTTTTTTTTATTTTTTTTTATGTATGTTCACTTATATTTCCGTAAATTATTGACCGATTAGTCGTTAGCGCCTCGACCTGCGGAATTTAAGTAAAATTTTCAAGGGCCGCTCGTAGAATGTCAGCAAAAATTTATTATGTTGAGCTCCTCCATCCTTCGTAGGGTATGTTAAGTCCCGGATGTATCTGGAATTGTTAACACACAATAATTCACACTTTACCCGCGTGGTGGGTAATGGACAATTCTTTGTATTTAATTTGATTCGATTCCTTCCATAGGGAAGCAGTGGGGGGGACATTAATAAGCTGGTGATAATAATGTAATGGGAAAGGCCTATGCCCCACCAGTGGGAACTTTTAATTATGATTAACAGTGTTAATTATTATCGAAATATTATATTCAAAACAATGTTTGATAGAAACAAACGTTTTAGTTTGTTTTAGGTTGAAACTCGTGTTGTGTAACTGGTTTATCGTGTTTTTAAATAGATAGGTACAGTCAACAGCTCGTCGGGTTATACAAATCTGAGAAATTGTTCCACTTGATTGTTAACGTTAGTGCTTTGAGGCTAAAGTTTGAAATTAACTACAGAAATTTGCCAAGTTGCGGTAATCTTACCTACGGCTGTATGTTAAAATTTAACAAAAATGTATTTGATTACACCAAAAGATTTAGTTATCCAAATCGATGATTACGACTATGGATAAATTCTTAGTTACTTTATATTTTTTTATTTGCGATTGATTAGTTAAAATAAGGCTCTAGCAATATATCATTAACTATTTTAAGCTTTTACGCTTTAAATTCAGCCATTTGATTTAAATATACAAATCCGAAACGCTAAAAGAAATACAAATATTTATTTCTTCAAGTATTTTTGGTTTAACCTTTGACAATACCTAAAAAACCCATTCATCACTTTTTTCGCGCTAAAATATAACATATGTCCATGTCTAAAATATAACATATGTCCATTCCCAATGTCTTTATCGAATTTTATTAAAGTCTGTCCAGTAGTTTTTAGGTGTAAGAGCCTAACAGGCGAAATTTAAAATAACTATCGTACATAATTTTTAAGACTGCTAGATGATGAAGGCTCTTCGCTATTTTTCTTTTGACTGTGAAATATAATTTTTACCTTATTTTTCAATTAGGTTTCTTACTCTTTAAAGTATAAGTATTTTATCTTCGGAAAGTTCAATCAAATTAAATAATAAAGTGATACAAATATGACGTTACCGACGAGCAGATATCAGCAGATTAACAGGTGAGAGATTTTCTTTCTTTCGAATAAATATCAGTGCTATTAAAAGAACAAGATTTCGCGCCAGAGTAAGTTTACACTAAAATTGCAATTTTAGGATATAAGCAAACCTAATTCCTTCTAGGGAAAAGGTAAGTATTACCTCGTACTAAGCTAAGTCTCTCCTTAATAATATAAATTTTGACTAATACTAAGTGCAGTCTCAGCATAAATTAACTCCAACGCTAAACTTGTTTATTAATAACACTTATTACTGCTATTAGCGTTAGCGTCAGAATAAATTTACGCTAAAATTGCAATTTTAATATTAGTCCAAATTCATATTATACAGAGAATAAGCAAACCTACTACCATCTAGGAGTAAAAATTACTCCCGAGAACCTCGTACTAGCTTAACCTTTGTTATACTCCATTCATTATAACATTAGAAAAAAGAGGGTCATAGAAGCAGCAGTACAGAACATTTTATTTTCAAGATAAATTTAAAAAATATACATTATAGTTTTGTTGAAACATTGAATGTATGATAGTCTGAAAGAGCCGAGCAATTTTCTATTTTTTACGATATCTCGGGGTTGAGATGAGGCAAGCATTTTCTAAATTCTTCTTTTACTCTCAAGCCAACATGGAATTAAAACTATCTATCTGTTGATTTGATTATAATTAGAATATAATTTAGTTATATCTATGCCCAGTGAAGAAAGGTAAACAAAATGAAAATTTTATTATTACTTTTATAACATTTATTCAGACTTTAGACTATTAATGAAGACATTGAAAAATCTTCTTGCAATTAATACATTGCTTAAATGACAAAAGTTAAGTATAGCAGCTGGTATTTAAGTGAATATGTAGTAAATTAGCCGTCAGTCTTAAGAGTAGCATAATTATTGATATTTTGTCACAAAGCTTACCATAAAAAGAACCTTATTTAACTTCTGTCTAATGCTATAATGAATGGAGTATAAGTCTTTAATAACATGAATTTTGACTACTTCATTCTAAGTGTAGTCTCAGCGTAAATTTACTCTAATACTTAACTTTGTTTATTAATAACACTGTATACGTTTAA